CCTACCTTTTCAGGACCCGTGAACTGTTTTTTTTTTTTTTTTTTTTTTTTTTTGTTACATTAAGAAAATTAGAATTTTGAACAACATAAAAGTCATTAAAACACACTTCAAATGTCGGGAAAGCTCATTTCCCGCCATCTAGGAATCAAAATTTTCAAGGGGGAGAACCCCTGAATCACCCTTTCTTTTTGGGATTTATCGATTCATGGCAAAAAGAATACGTATGCAACTACTCATTTGTTTATGTATGAATACACACATAAAATAAAAAATGAGAAAAATTTACCTGACTGTTTTCAAGAGGGGAAAACCTTGAATTTTGAAGAACTTAAAATACATTAAAATACATTTCAGAAGTCGGGAAAGCTCATTTCCCGCCATCTAGAAATCGAAATTTTCCCGGGGAACACAGACCTTTTCTTTGGAGTTCATTGATTAATTGAATCATTTTCAAAAGAGGGGGGGGGGGCCACCTTGAATTTTGAATTGATTAAAAGTCATTAAAAGACACCTAAGAAGTCGGGAAAGCTCATTTCCCGCCACCTAGGAATCAAAATTTCTCCGTGGAAGAACCACAGGACCCCCTCCCCCTTTCTTTTTGAGATTTATTGATTCATGGAAAAAATTACGTATGCAACTTGCTCAAACTTTTTTTATATTTGTATACACACATAAGGCCTATTTACTGTAACAACAATGGGAAAAAATTATTACCTTTAATTTTAAAGAACTTAAAGTCGGGAAGCTCATTGCCCACCACTTAGAAATCAACATTTTCCCGGGAAGAACTCCAACCTCCCTTTCTTTGGGTTCATTGATTCATTATAATAATTTTCAAGAGGGGAAAACCTTAAATTTTGAAGAAATTAAAAGTAATTAAAAGACACCTCAGAAGTCGGGAAAGCTCATTTCCCGCCTTCTAGGAATCAAATTTTTCCCGGGGGAGAACCCCCGTACCCCCCTTTCTTTTTGTGATTCATCGATTCATCGAAAATCCGTATGCAACTACTCATTTTTAAAAAAATGTTATGTGTGTATAGACACATAAGGCCTTCACTGTAACAACAATGGGAACAATTAAATTACCTGACCGTTTTCAAGAAGGGAAAACCTTGAATTTTGATAAACTTAAAAGTAATTAAGACACCTCAGGAGTCGGGGAAAAGCTCATTTTCCGCCATCTAGGATGGACCCCCCTTTTTTTGGAGCTTATCCATTCATTGAAAAAAAAAATACGATATACAACTACTCATTTTCTTAAGGTATACACACATAACAGGCCTATTTACTGTAATGAGAAAGTTTACCTTACAGTTTTCAAGAGGGCGAAAACCTTGAATTTTGAAGAACAAAGTCATTAGACACCTAACTCAAAAGTCGAGAAAGGTCATTTCCAGCCATCTAGAAATCTAAATTTTCCCGGGGGAGGAATGTTGAGCCCACCACCTAGGTTTGATTCCCAATCTGCATGATTCATATTCCCATTCATCTTATAAGTGCCCCCCCCCCACGTTAAAAAATGTTCCGCCGGCCCTGTTATTGTAGAGTAGTATACACTGTACTGCAATGTAGATAGGAATGGCCCGGAAAATGGCCCCAGAAAAAAGTCTCAATTTCAACCTCAGTGTTCTTATAAAATGTGTTCTTATAAAAAAAAAACAATGTGTAAATTCTACATGTATGCTTACAATAAACCTACTCCTTTTGACATAACTCAGGAACCCATCTTGTGAACTCTGAACTCTGGGGTGAACAGTTAATGCAAGTTCACATTATTTTCTTCCCTTTGGTGTATCATAATGATTATGATTAAGAAAATAGAATCTGGGAAAAACGACCAGGTTAAAAATTGGCCAATTTTGGTAAAAACCATGAGCTCATATTTTGTTTTGACCCGCCATTTTCCAGATGTTTCGTATTCCATGACACCTACAGATCACAAGAGTCCTCTACAGGTTGATAAATGCCACTTAAAGCCTAATTTTAATCTTTAATAACGATAAATCGTATGATACTCAATTAAGCCTATGTGGCCGAATCTGGGAAAAATGACCAGGTTAAAAATTGGCCAATTTTGGTAAAAACCATGAGCTCATACTTTTTTAGACGATTTTTTTAAAAGCCTAGTTTTAAGCTTAAATAACGATTAATCGGATGATACTCAATTATGCACATGTGGTCGATTATGGGAAAAACGACCAAGTTAAAATTTGGCTAATTTTGTTAAAAACCATGAGCTATAGCTCATGGTTTTTTTTTTGGACGACTTTATTTTACCCCGCCATTTTCCAGTTGTTTTGTATTCCATGGCACCTACAGATCACAGGAGTCCTCTGCAGGTTGATAAATTCCACTTAATGCCTATAGTTTTAAGATTAAACAACG